GAAGAATGCTTAGGAAGCAGTTGCTCTGAAAAAGATTGAGAGGAATGTTGTTAGGGGACTACAAACACAATATGAGCCATCAGTATGACATGGTAGCCAAAAAAGTTAATGAGATCTTGGGATGGATTAAAAAAAGCATTTAAAAAAAAGAAAAAGGGGGCACAGCCCCACTGCACTCTGCCTTTTTCAGACCTTACCTCAAGTATTTTCTTCAGTTCTGAATGTTACAGAAAGACAGTGATAAACAGGATAATATCCCAAGGAGGGCAACTAGGGAAGTGAAGGACCTTGAGTCTGTATTGTAAGAGGATCAGTGAAGAAACTTGACATGTTTAGCCTGGAAAGGAGAACATGATCATTGTCTTCAAGTATTTGAAGGGCTCATGGGGAGAAGAAATATTAAACTTATTCTATTTGGTTCCAAAGGGCAGAATCAGAAGCCATGGGTGGAAGAGGCAGAAGAAAATTTAGGTTTGATGTCAGGAAAAACTTCCTAACAATTTAAGCTGTCTCAAAGTGGAATGGGCTGTTCCAAGTGGTGGTGGTTTCCTCATCTTTAGAGGTCTTTAGTCAGAGGCTAGATGACCACTTGTCCAATATATTATAATGGGGATTCCTTTTGTGTATAGGTTTAATTAGATAGTTGATGAGATTTTTCTAATTCAAACTTTTTGCTTCTGTTCCATGACTTTCACTGATACCTTGCCAGCAGATAAATATTGATATTTAAAAAACTGGATCTTTGTTTCAGAGAGAAGCTTGGAGTCATTGAAATAACTGTGCACTTTCCCAAAGGCAATCTGGTCTGCTATCCTCTTAGTGTTCTGTTGCGGGTCTAGCTCACTCCCTATTAGTGTTACCTGTCTGTTACTATGTCCTCACAGACAAGCTCTTTGGGTAGCCTATCCATTGGGTAGTCTGGACAATAACCATTCTTCATTCACTTTTTTTTTTCTGTGTCGATAGATAAACTGTATTCTCTTGACTAGTTAGGGGTCTCATTAAGGAAACTCTACAGTATTCTAGGGTTTAACGTATACTTATATCTGAAAACAGGAAAATCTAGAGAACTTCAGTCATAGTTGATAGATCATTGGACGTGGATTCAAAAAAGACCCTGGTTTGGATTTCTTCTCAGACACTTATTAACTCTCATCCCAGGTTAATCAGTTAACATCTTTGGGCTTCAGTTTCTTCATCTGTAAAATAAAGGAGTTGGACCTGACCTTTAAAATCTCTGATCTTATGATTTCTAGAGAATCACTGTTTTATTTGGGCAGTGATCTGGACTTCTTCTGTAACAGTACCAAATACCTTGATGAATATATGTCTTCTCCTCCATAAGATTTTATAAGTGAGTTTGTATTCTAAACTGACATTGCCTTTGTTTGCTATATCTCTCAGTGTGACAAGGAGGTTTAATATTCACAGGATCAGGTGGTTTTTCAGTTCTTTTGGTCTCTTCATTATGGCAATTATTGGCCACCACTTAAATTTCTTTAAGAAAAGGTTGTAATGTGTGTCAATATCCATTTTTCCATCTAATTTTTTGGCACCAACAGCTAATTTAAATATGTTAGATGGGAAATGTTTTAGTTGTATGGCATCTCATTTTTTATTTTGATCTTTACAAATTAAAAGTCTGACTGTATAAGATTATAGGATCACATCTGATTTGAGAATGACTCCCATATCAGTAATAAATTTCTTCCTGTCTGTTAAAGTATGTAACCAGTTTCATTATTTTGTGCTCTCATGTTGGACATGTCTAGCACCTGCCAATTCTTTTCTTGAGACAAAAAAAATTCACGATATGTAGATATAAAACTTCTTAGTAAACTATAAGTCTTTAACCTCTCTTATATGTTGCTATAAAACCAAAGTTTCCAATATATATTTTATGAGCTCCTGCCATACCTCCCTTTGCATTGACATTACTGTGTTTCAAGGTATATGTTTATTTCATTTGGAAAGCCTTCCTGAGTTCTTTGTAGAATTTCTCTCCCTATTCATTCTCCTCAACAAGTGCTGGTACACAAGCTTTAGTTATTTTTCAAAATATATTCTTCTTTTGGCAAATATTTATCATGAGCACTGAAACATAAGATGACTAAGTGTCCTGTGAGATTCTTGTTGCCGCAATTAAACCAACTCTGCTAAGTCCATTATTTGTCTCTGTAAGGAGAGCTTCTGAGCCATCCTTCCCTTTAGCTGTAGCATCCTGTTTGTTTCCTGTTTTCATTCACGATGAAAGTGAAAGATTAATACAATTAAGTTCCTCCAATAGTATGTCCATTTATTTGTACAAGAATCTTACATTTATAGTGCCAAGAGCTAAATTAATGTTTGTAGATGTTCTAAAGACTGCTTAATTCTTAGTACCTTCTGCACCCTTTCCTGTAACTTTGTTAATGTCACTGTAGAAACAAAAGGAGACCACATAGGACTGGGGACCATTCATATTTTTCTTTTTTTCGTGGATTGCCACAGCCAAAGAATTTATCACCAAATAGCCAGTCTACTTACTGAGCCTCTCCGTACCTAGCTACTATAGATACTTAGCTACTATATTCTTCCAAGGCATGATAGACATTGTCTGTTGCTAGGACTATACCTAAAGATTTTCCAGCTTGCTAGAGCCTTGCTAGAGCAAGAGCCAACATTGCTGAAGAACCAAAGATTGATCCCATGTTGTGAAGAAGCTTCGGAGTAGGATTTTAGTGGAAGGTCTTGACATAGATGATACTTAATAGTCCTATGAAATGTGCTGGGCTAGTAGCCAGGAAATGGGTTAGACCAGGGGTGGGGAACCTGTGGCCTTAAGACCACATGTGGCCCTCTAGGTCCTCAAGTGTGGCTATTTGACTGAATCCAAACTTCATAGAACAAATCCCCTTAATAAAAGGATGTTCTATAAAACTCAGACTCAGTCAAAAGGCCACACCCGAGGACCTAGAAGGCCATATGTAGCCTCAAGGCTGCAGATTCTCCACCCCTGGGTTAGGCAGGTATTACAAACTAGCTTTGTGACTTTATTGTACTATACCTCAGTTTCCATATCTTTGAAATTAGTATTACTATAAAATACAAATTAATATTGGAATTAATATTAAAATTGGCATATAATATAACTAATTAGAGTGTTGGTAGCATGATTTCATGGGTGAAGAAGAGTAGTACTATTATTTAATACCATGGCTTTCTGTTGCAGAGTTTTGTGGAATCTTAAGACTCATTACATTCTTTTTTATGCTATTGATTGTTGCTTAAGGAGTATTTAAGCTTATCGTGGTCATTCATCATTCCTTTTTCTTGATTCTCAAGTCCAGGCACTTGGGTTCAGTTTGTGAATTTACTGTGCTGTAGCCCCAGCCACCTTAAACCCAAGCTGCTTGATTGCCCACCTGGCTTGGATGTCACCAGCTCTGTTCCTACCAGTGAGTAGAAGGGCCATCAGATCTTAACCTCTTAACCTACCACTACTGCCTCTGTGCCCTGCAGACCCTTCGAATGGTGTCATATGATGTTATCCTAAGCCCCCTGGTCCTTGCCATCTGCCCAGACACGGCATGCCTAGGACTTTTAGGTCTTTCCATCTGCCTTGTACCTAAACTTTCCTTTATATGTTGTTTTCCCTTATTTGAGTATGAGCTTCTTAAAAGCAGGAGCTAGATTGCTCTCTTCAACACTTAGCACAGTGTCTAGCACAGGGGTGGGGAACCTGCAGCCCCAAGGCCACATGTGGCCTTCTAGGTCTTCAGGTGTGGCCCTCTGACTGAATCCAAATTTCACAGAACAAATCCCTTGCCGCTGCCCTAGAACATAGTAAATGCTTAAATTCAGGTCCTCAATGAATTTGAGAGGTTGGATTGGATATCTCTTTTTCAGTCTTTCATTGAATCCATTATTTCCCTTTTAAAAAGTTAAGTCTTCCAACTTGCTAACTATCAATTATTTAGGAGTACAAGTGTCCAGAGAAGAAGGAGAGAAAACTGTTTCACTTTTATCTTTCCATAAAAATCCATATATTACAAAGGAGCCAGTGATGTGTTTATTTTATTTTGGGTTTTTTGAAATTAATAGTAGACAAGGTAACCTTTCTAAAATTCTTTCTGGAGGCCCAGAATTTAATTTTACATGATTGGTGTGCATGCCTTTTCTTGGAAATACTTGTTTCTTTCTTTTTTCTACGATCAAGTTTAAAGAGAAGGTCTGGGTTTTTAGCTCTTATCTCCCAGTTTGTTAGAGTTACTATTGTGACTGGTCCTGGTGGGTCACCCATAAAGTAGTACTAGCTGGAGTGCTAAAAAATAAGTTTAAAAAAAAGCTAGTTCTCTACCCTTTCTTCCCCACTGAGGCCTGCAGCAGAGGGCCGCTCACTAGCCAAACTTTTCCTTTGACAACCAGTCCTGGGATATCAAATTAATTCACACAAGAGCCAGTTAGAAATGAAAGAATTTACTAAGCTAACCTAGTTCATTCATCCATTTCCTGCTTTGAGAAACTTGCTTCTGTCTCTTTAAACTTTTCTCTGAAGAGCAGTTGCCTATAAATCATCCCTGCACAAGGAATATCAATGCACCACAGGTCTCTGACCAACTGATTGGCTACTTGTGATGAGTGTATTGAACAACCTTGATCTATACCTAGATATCCCGTGAGGCTCTCCCTCCACCCCTTGGTATTTCACCTTTGTTCTGTTTACAAGATATCTCAAACGTGAAAGATGTTACACAGATCTCTGTGAAGTTACTTTTATTTAGCTGAACGATTGCTTTTGGACTGTTTATTACATCTTATTATCATTTTATATACGCAGGAGGGGACCTATGTGTTGTGAACTTGTTTTGAATTAATTGAACTGATTGAATAAATAATTGTTACAATAATAATTTCTGTTAAATAATCCCATTTCTCCATTCCTCTAGTGTGAAATAGTCACAATTCACATAACCGTATCTGTTCATTTTTTCCCCCTTGCATGTTTGTGCCTTTTCCAGGTCACCATTGTTGCTGATGATACCTGTAGATTCTTGTGCTGGTCAAGAGAGAGATTAACTTTTTTTCTGGAATCAGAACCATTCCTTTATGAAATATTTAGATATCTTATTGGGAAGGACATCACAAATAAATTATACTCTTTGAATGATCCCACATTAAATGATAAGGTAAGTCACAGTATTTCAGAAAATGTACCTTGAAGGTTCAACCTGTAGTCTTTTGTGGTTTTTTCTTTTGTGAACATACACACACACACACACACACACACACACACACACACACACACACACACACTATAGTTTTATACTTTATGCAATATAAGTTCCCAAAAGTTCACTGAACATCTATACTGATACCTATAATGGCAAGAAAATAACTCTGGGTTCTCAGAACCTGTCAGCTTAAAAGGTGGAAAGGCTTCAGATATGGACCTTGTGATGACCTGTATGTCTTTTGCCTAAGGATTAGCCAGGCAAAGTTCCAAGAGGTTCATCACCAGAAGGTGGGCCACCAAGTGGTGAATGTGTTTGGCCACAGCAACTTACTAAATCATTTGCTAAAGCATAGAAGGATTGCAATCTGCACGGCTAGTAAGGGAGTACCCACACCAATGAAATCATAGATCCTTGGATTAATGAACTATGTTCATAAATATCATATATATTTTGGATCTTTGTGAATGGAATCATACTTAGATGTTTAAAGAAAATCTGAACTGAATCATTTTATAATTATGATATTTGTCATTACTTAACAAGGTGGGAAATGTGAGGCTAACATTATAAAGTCTTGTGATTTCCTTCTAAATCAGGGCCCCCAACTTGGAGGGAGGGTATTTACAAGAAAAAGCCACAGGGAGCAGGAGGGAGATGTTCCAGTGATTTCCAGTATTTCAATTCAGACAGTTTCCAGCCCCATCCACTTCCCCACCGTGGATATCCATCCACAGTCTTTCTGCCAGAAGGGAGGTTGTCATTATCTTTTTTTTTTCTGTCCACACTCATCTTATCCCCATCTGTATAAAGTCTGTATCTAAGCTAGTGATTATTTATTTCCATTGGGGAAAATGTTACCTTAGCAACCAAATCACTAACAGTCCATTTCTTTTGCAGATATTGGTTATCATTGAATTACTTCCTTGCTAAACCCTACAGTTGTACAACCTCTTTAGGCCAACCTGATCTTTAAAAGCAGTTAACCTTTCCCTCCACCCTTTAAACATCTTAAAACACAATTTGAACACATGAGATAGTTTGTATAAAACAGGAGTATGCCATTGTTTCCTCATAGCATTATACATAATAACCTCTTTTTTCTGTTTTATGACTTTGGGTTTTCACAGACTAGAATTTCTCATGGTAAGGTACACAAAATAATATTGAGAATACTCCCTCCCATATTTTTGCTCTTGTTAACTTGTTTTAGATTGGTGTACAAATGACTTTATTTGTTTTTTATGGTATTCCTAATAGTTCTCTTAGTACTGACTTATCTACTCTTGCATTTTTGTTTTGATCCTGAATATGGGACTGCACTGTAAACCTGCCACCAATGATAATAGAGTAACGCAGCTAGTATATATTTCATAGCTAAATAGTATTGCCAAAAAGTTCATGCATCTCCCAAAGTGAATTATTTACTTCTAATAACATTCCTTTAAAAATATTAGCCAACAGCCAGCAAATATCTATTAAGCACCTTTCTGGGCCAGGTACTATGCTAGGTGCTGGTTACACAAAGATAAAAGTGATTCTCTACCCTTGAGGATTTTAAAATCTAGCTGGGAAGAGAGAGAGAGTGTGTGTGTGTGTGTGTGTGTGTGTGTGTGTGTGTGTGTGTGTGTGCCTGCCTGCGTGTATGCTGTCCCAAAAGTCTTAGTGCAGTTCTAAGCTTTAATATAAATTAAGTTACAATAAACATTGATACATTTATTCTTTATCAGGTGTTCTTATAGAACCTGATAAATACTCTAATATATTGAAACAGTAAGTTTTGACATTAATAGTTTGGAGACTTGAAAAGGTAAAAACTTCCCTTAGAAAGGAAGTTAAATTACAATGTGGGATTTGTTGAAGTGTAGAGAGAATCTGAATGTCTATTCAAGAATCTCATTTATTGACTATACATGCTGTTTGAAGGTACATCCAAAAATCTTTGCTTTATAGAATGCCAAAAGGTTGGAACGCAAGCCCAGTCTTTGCTCGCAGATTTCAGTGATGCAAATGAGAAACAGTATGGCTAGTTCAAGTGACAGTGAAGATGGCTTGCAACATTTCCTCCGGGGGACCTCCACTGCATCCTCTATTCGTAAGTAAACTTAAAGAGTGATGATGTAAATTATATCTTGATTTAAAATGGTTCTCAAAAAAAATGGTTCTTATGAGGAAGACATTTAGTATGAGCAAATGTGGATGGAGAGATGGCACAAGAGATGGTAAGAAGACCACAGAATGTTATATACTTGGTCTCTTAATTTTGCAAAATCATATTGGGTCATTCATAAATAAGGGAAAAATATGAAAGAAAACCAGAGCTAATTAATTTTTGTGATCCTTATTTTACACACCATCTTATATTCAAAGTTTTAATCTATTAAACCATTTAAATAAAGCCAGTATATTTATCCATATGTTCACTGGGACCTAATTTGATGGCTGGTTTCTGTTATTTTGTTTGGACCATTAAAGTAAAACCTCGTACAGTTTTAACTCTCCACTAAGAGCTATAATAATGAAGACAGCTGGATGTTTGTATCTTGGCTGGTTGTTTCCTAGTGTGAGCAGCCAGATGTCCACAGCTGTCTTGGAAGCATAACGTCCCGGAAGATGAGAGTGGGAATGGGAGAAATTAACGGCTTTTGTGAATGACACCTTTCAGAGTACTCTAGCTGCTGATGCTACAAGACAATAATTTACCCAGGGAAGACTCATCTGTGGCTAAGATAGCTAAAAGGCAATTAATGAACACTAACAACATAAATATATGCTGAAGATCAAAAGCTAAATTATCATTCCTTGCCTTCTGGACTAACACCACTACTACTACCACTACTATTACTACCACTACTACTACTACCACCATCACCACCACCATCACTGTTTCTGCTGCTACTACTGCATATTGAAGACCATTCAACAAATCCAAGGGAAAACATAAAATGTGTGGATTTCCTACACTTGCATGAACTAAGTGACTTCTATCAATGTTTTAGACTGGATTTTAAACTTCATTAAATATTAAACACCAAAGGACTTTATCTCCCAAACCTAAGCATTTATGTCTTTTAATCTTATATAATATATATGTTATGGACAAATTAAGTCAAATATTCTGGTTATTAGTGCATTCAGGGGGAAAAGGCGATTTCCAAGGTACATAATTGGTACAAACCTTCAAAGAGTAATTTAGGCATGGACAGTACTTTGTTGTAGACCAAAAAATTATATCACTTCAGACACAAAATGGTGAGCAATTATCTTTAGGTTTCTTCCAGTATAATTTCCAAAGGAGTTGACTGATTTTGACTAAATTTGGAACACTTTCTAAATAATGTGAAGATAGATGTCTGTTCAATTTAAGATTGTCTACTGTCTTGACAGTATGATAGCAAGCAGAATGTTTTAGATGGGCCTATGTGCTAAAATGTTTTGTGGAGTTCATTGAAATTTTCTGTATAGATAGAAGTTACAAAGGTATATGACTGAACTGAGTGAGGTCTACAATTCATACCACTAAAAAGGTAGTTATGAAGTCAAAAATTAAGTTCCATATTAATGAACTGTTTCCCCATTGAATGAATTGTTTTCAATAATTATTATTCCATACTTTCTTTGATTAATTAGATTATCAGTGAATATGTACCAAAAACAGGCCCCATAGTATATAAAGTTATTTATATGTTATTTTTGTTGGCATATGATTTTTTTATTGTAAGAAATTTTTAATAGAGTAAAATAAAAATTTAAGGAAAATGGTTTCAGTTCATTGGTTCATTTGACTGTACAATATCTGTTCTCCTGGGAACAGTTGCATTTGTAAGTGGGCTTAAAATGGACTTTGCTTGGTTCCAATTTCTTTTGTACCTTTCTAACAAAACATAGTACCAGAGGCTCTTTAGAATATGTGAAATTCTACATATGGACTGGCATAACACAATAAAACCTATAGTCTATCCCAGATTGTCTGAGACCATATCAACCACATAAATCTAGAAGTCCTTCATACCTGCTTTACATTGCTTTGAAGCAAAGTCTGTGAATCAGGAATAAGGTTGAGTTTCTTATCCTGTTCAATCTCCAAGCCAGGCTTTTGGCCATCCAGCTGGTCCAGAACCATTCTTGGCTGCTCTTTGAAAATGTCAAATGACTCAGGCCCTAAGGTCTAGTACTTCTCATCTGCAACTGGCCCCTTTCTTTCACTTTCCTTACTCTTAGTGCAGCCCTTTGACTGAATCCAAATTGATTTTGGCCACACTTGAGGATCTAGAGTCCCACATGTGGCCTCCAGGCCACAGGTTCCCCACAGCTGGCCTTGCCTGTGGCCACTTTTGAAAGAAGCAGCATCTCCTTTTGCAGAGCAGCTGGTGAAAAACTGCTGGGGGGGCCTTCCTGTCATCATTGGCAATCCAAAGGGTAGCTGAGGTGCTGAATCATCTCCTATGTTTCTCAGCTCTGATGATGATAGTGATAATAGCCAGTTTTTAGTGTTCTAAGGTTTGCAAAGCATTTCAAATATACTACTTCGTTTGATCCTCATAAAAACCTTGTGAGGTAGGCAATATTATTAGCCCCATTTTACTGGTGAATAATATTGGATGGAGAGAAGTGAAGTAATTTGCCCAGGGTCATACAGCTAATAAGTGTTAAAGGCACAGGTATTCCTGACTCTGAGTCTGTCCATCACTCTGTCCATTACATTACCTAGCTTTCTGCTCATGGACAGTTATGTATATGTACATATACATGTATACATATTTATATATTTACATGCATATATGTATAACTATACATATATACATATGCATACATATACACACACACACGTGTGTGTTGTGTGTGTGTGTGTGTGTGTGTGTGTGTGTGTTTTCCCCCAAATGACTGTTGGTAAGTATATCTTCCCTACCTTGGATTTGACTTCTATGTTTTCCCCATCATTTCACTGACTGTCACATTCACAGCTGTGCAGGATTCGGGGATTCCCTGCCTGCAAATTCTTGAGTCTCCTCTGTTTCAAGCCTGAGGTCCCTGATGCAGCTTTTTTAAAACAAAACACTACAAAATAAACTCTCTCCAGGTAGTTTGTACAGGACATTTCTTACTGCCCTTGACTTCATTTTTGAAATTTCTTGGCCTCTTCCCCTGCTTAATGGGATACTAGTATTTGAATACTGAGAAATTGAAGCATATCAGCACATTAACACTGAAAATGAACAGTTTCATTCCCTTTAGGAGGATTTTTTTCAGAACTGAGCCACGCCTGGATTTGAATCTTGATTGTATTTTAGGTCTCAGAAACTCAGTGGAGCTTTAATATGGTTGTCTCTGTTTTCCTTTTAAAACTCTGTTCAGCGTAACCTCTGTTTTTGCATATTTGGAGGTAAATGTTTTTAATATTAAATTTTGTCCATATCACTGATTACGTTACTTAATACTGGAAACACATATCCATACACATATATAATGTGATTTGATAAAGTTGCCTTCAACAAATTTTAGCTCAAGAAAAATAATTTAATTCTTCCTTGTTTTGTGGGAGGAAATGTTGCTTTATTTGTTTTTGTTTTTATTTTCACCAGTACTGCCTGGGATTTAATTGGTGGAAAGAACTCCCAGTGATGAAACTGAGGTCAACAATTGCTTCTGTAGCTTATAGTTTTAGAAAATTGTCTCTGAGAAACTGAGTGGTTAAGTTACTTGCCCAGCTAGTATGTCAGAGACAGAACTTGAACCCAGGTCTTCCTGATTTTGAGGCCACTTCTCTATCCTCCACACCTCCCTTCCTCTCAGTTCTTCCTTGACCTTTAAAAAGAGTTCATAAATAATGTAATGGAAAGAGTTTTAGACATAGAGTAAAAAAAAATTCTGTAATGTAGTTTGTAGTTTTTGTGTGACCTTAGACAAGTCATTTAGACCATCTATCTGGGCCTGAGTTTCCTCATCTATAGTTTGTCTTGATAGCCTCCAAAGTCCTGCCTTACTCCAACCTATGATCCTATGAACACTCAACCACCTGTAATCAAATGTGTTTATCTCAGACCCAAAGAAGGCAAACTATGTGCCTGTAGAATTTAAAGATGTCTAAAGAGTTAGGAGTTTGGTTTGAAAGATGAATTCCAGAAGAAAAAAAAATCTGTTCATTGGAGAAACAGAAAACCCATGCCTTTTGGGATTTTCTAAAGTAACCTTTTTGGCTGGAAAAAGAGAGTGAACCTATTTCTTAAAGAAGGAGTAATCTTAAGATGCAAAAATAGAATTTGTTGGACCAACTCAAATACATTTTTGTATGAATAGTAATATTCAAAATTCATTCTTTTGGATGTGGGGATATGAAAGAGAAGGAAAAATAAAATGTGGTTTTGAAGTTGCAAGCCTGAGTGATGTGATGCCAGCATCATTCTTGCCAAATCTTATCATTTGCACCTCCGTATCTTTTATATACCTGTTCTTCTCTTCCCACACACAGCCACTAATTCACAGGTCCTTCTCATCTCCATCTGGACTACTGCAATAGCCTCTGATTGGTCTCTCTGCTTCCAGTCTCTCAACCACTCCAATCCATGCCCCATTTGGCTTCCAAGATGACTTTTCAAAAGTATGGATCAGACCATGTCTCTCTCTATGTTCAATGAGATTTGGCAACACCCTATTATTTCCAGGGTCAAATGCAAACTCCTCTTTTTGGTATTTAAATCTCTCCGTAACAAGGCCTCATCTTACCTTTCCAGTTTTACACCTTACTCAATCTTAAGACACAATTACACTGCCTCACTTGCTATTTCTCACACACAACATCTCTTCACCTTTGTGCCGGTTCTCTCCCTCCCCCACCTCCCATGACTGTAATGCTTTGCCCCCTCACCTCTGTCTCTTAGTTTACCTGGATTCCTTCAAAACTCAGTCCATTCCATCTTCTGTGCAAGGCTTTTCCTGGTCACCTCAACTGCTAGCACCTACTCCTCTGAGATCACCTTACATTAACTCTGTATATGTCTTCTATATACCCAGATATTTATACGTTCTCCTAATTAAAATGTGCACCCCTTGAGGACAGGGACTGTGCTGTTCTTTGTATCACCAGTCCTTAGCACAGCACTTAATACATAATGTTTTAAGAAATGCTTGTTGAGGGGGCAGAGAGGTGGCCCAGTGGATAGAGCACCGACCCTGAAGTCAGGAGGACCTGAGTTCAAATCTAGCCTCAGACCAAACACTTGTAACTTACTATGTGTGACCCTGGGCAAGTCACTTAACCCTAATTGCCTAAAAAAAAATGATTGTTGAATAACTACTATGGAAGTGTTTTGCATAACTGCACATGTGTAACCTATGTTGAGTTGCTTGCTTTTTCACGAGGGTGAGTGGGGAGGGAGGAAGGAAGAAAATTTGCAACCCAAAGTTTTAAAAAACACATGTGTAAAAAAAAGTGTTTTCACATGCAACTGGGAAATAAGAAATATGGGAAATGTGGTACAGAAATCTATCCTGTCCTACAGGAAAATAGAAGGGGAAGGGCATAACAGAAGGGGTGGAGAGATAGAAGGGAGGGCAGACTAGGGGAAGGGATATTCAGAATGCATGCCATCTTGGGGGGGGGGGAGATGGGGTGAAAATTTGGAATTCAAAATCTTGTGGAAGTAAATGTTGAAAACTAAAAATAAACTTAAAAAAATACTAAAAAAAAAAGAAATGCTTGTTGACTAGCTGGCAGAGGGAAGTTAGCAGGAAAAGGGTGGTTTCTTTTTTCTTTGGTATGGGAAGTAGAAATAATTGATTCAGTTTGGAGCTTGCTGAGTTTGAGGTACCACTAATATATACAAATAATGTGAGATGGCACTTGAAAATTAAAAATTAAGGCTCATGAAGAGTTTTGGCTGCAGATAAGGATTTGGGCAATCATCTGCATAGAGGTACAATTGAAACCATGAGGCTGGGTAAGATATCCATGATTAAGAGGCAGCTTGGTTAAGTGAAAATAACACCGGATTTGAAATAAAAGAATTTAGAGTTGAATCTTGGCTGTCATTTGCTACCTGTGTGATAGGTAACAACTTTTTTTTTCTCATCCATAAAATGAGGATGACTTCCATCAAAACCAGATGACTTCAAGGTATCTACCAGTTTTAAATCAATGATCCTAGAAACTATTTATTAAATGCTTATTTTGTGAAGCAGTGTTTCATGTGAATGGAAAGAGGCTATTAACTACTGCACCTAGGGTATATAACTAGTTCAGCCATGGACAGGTGACTAAACTCCTAGAAAGCTCAATCTGCAATCACTTGTTTTTACATCTTCACCCTTCATTGTAGTGCATGCTCTAGAGTTAGCCTTCAAGATCCTGCTCACACTCACCAGCTGGGCCCCGGGGGGTGTCTGCTATGTCTTCCTTCAGGGTTCTAGGGTAACTCTAAGGGTTTGGGTATCATAGGGTATCTTTCTTTTTTTAATTTATGGAAAAAAACAAGCATTTCTGTAACAGTATAACACAAAAGATGATTGCATATGAAACTGCAAATCTACTATATCCAACTTGCTATTCCTTTTAAATGTGTTACAAAATTATAATGTAAATTTCTTTTTTTTTCTTTTTCCTTTTTTTCCCACTCCCTTCCCCTGCCCTAGAGATGGCCTCCACCAGGCACAAATGTGTATATATGTATATATACACATGCATATATACATATACACATATACCTATATGTGTATATGTAGAATTATT